AACTCTATGAAAATTCAGTATACATTCTTTCAATTAGTTATATTTCTAAACTATATGTTGATTACTTCTCAAAGGTTAACAGAGCTACAGATGAAAATGTTACCAATATTTGGCACATAAGATATCTCTAGTTAAAGTTTCATTGATATAAGTTGTGGATTTGGTTACTATTATTTTTGGTATTTAACATTTCATATGTTTGAATAAAAGATTTTATCCAGAATAAATATTGGAAAACAATATGTGTACTGTAGTGAACTGTATGGAGTGGGTCCTTCGGAAGGGCTCACCTGTAATAAATATGCAGCACTCCACTATTGTTTGCCTTGTAAGACCTTTTTTACTACTTTCTGTAGAAAAGTTTTGAGAAAAACCAGGCAGCCTCAGGATTAATACCTAGTGTATTAGGATTTGGTAAAAATCAACTGGGTTGGCAAAGACCTTGGAGATCATTAAGTCCAGCCTATGACCCAACACCACCTTATCAATTGAACTTAGTGCCACATCAAGTGTTTCTTCAAGCACCTCCAGGGACAGTGACTCCACCATCTCCTGTGCATCACATTCCAGAACCTGACTCTTTTCTTTTTGTATCATCCCTTCAGGTATGTTTATACATATTGATAAAACCACCTGAGCCTTCTCTTCTCCAGACTTAATAGCCCCAGCTCTCTCAGTCTCTATGTGAAGGATGATCCAGATCCATCATCTTTGTGTCCCTTTGTTGATCTCTCTCCAGTATGTGTTTTTTTCTGGGCTAGGAAGCCCAGAACTGGACACAGTACTCCAGGAATGGCTCTAACAGTGCGGATTGGAGGATCCCCTCTCCTGACCTGGGGGTAATATTTAGCCTAATGCAGTGCAGGATTGTTGGCCTCAATGGCTTCTTGTCCACTGGGATACACTGCCACCTTCTGGGCGTGGCAGTTCAGCCAATTTTCAATCTGCCTCACTTTGGTGGACACTTAGGCAGCTTTCACATTAGGATTTTAGAGAAGTGTCAAAAGCCAGCTGTAACTAAAATACCCATGACTTACCTATACTTTTTCCAGCACACATCCAAAACATAGCCCCCTACTGTGAAGAACTTCACTCTGTCCCAGGAAAAACCAGTACAATTATCTACCTTCCCAGCTACTGAGTTGAGACTGCTTAGCTTGTAGCTCCTTGTGGTTTCTTGTCATTTCTTGAAGACAGGGATGACATTTCCTACCTCCAGTTCTCAGACACTTCTCCAGGTCATTGTGATCAGCACACAGGTTTTGAGCAGAGCCTCACAATTATATCTGCCAGCTCCCTCAGCAGTTGTGGGTTCATCCTGTCAGGCGTCACAGACTTAATTATATTCAGCTTGCTTAAATATTTCCCAACATGATCCTTTTTCCCTAAGCCGTTGTTTTTCCAGACCCTTGCAATGTGTGGGTCAGTTTCCTACCTATTGAAAGGAGGAAAACTCCTAGTGTAGTTTCTTCATACATATCTATATGTATCATAAAATGTACAACAGTAAAGAACTACATAAATACTGATATATTTTTAAATACATGTGCTATGTAAAATTGTGTTGAGTTTTATAACTGGCTTCAGTATCAGTAGTCATTTGTGGTATCTGGCAACCCTGTCCAAATTAATATTTTGTCCTTCATGGACAATGGTAGAATTTAATTTGATCTGAAGGCTGGTGCTTTTCAGATAAGAGACATGAAAATACCCTAATGAAGCTCAGAATTCCTTTCATGCTTACTGTGTTGTTTAATGGAAATGTTCTCTTGTCAGCTTCCCTGGCATTGTTCTCCTGTTCACTCCTTCTTCCTTGCTTCCTCTTGCTATCCTCTCCCACCATTTAGATTGTGTGGGGAAGTAGGAAAGTATTTGGGACATAAGTTGCCCTGGCACATATGTAGCTTCATCCCAAAGTAGCTATCTGTGTAATTTTTTAAAAACCTCAAGGAAGCCAGAGATGGCTTCCTGAGCCAAGCATAGGTGCTATTTACCATATCATACCATACAGTTTTGGTAGCAAAATACGCATTCATACTAATAACATTTTAGCTTTAGCACTTCTTTTGTTTAATGTCCTCTTCAGTGAAGGGTTCTGTAGGCACATCCTGTAGGTAAAAAAAAAAAAAAAAAAAGAGCAGATATAAACTGTAACTGTTCTTCACAAAATATTAGTGTCTTAAATATGACAGGGTAGGGATCCTTGTTATACAATGCAAGTACTCGGAGACTGGTGTGGCAACTGTAATTATGTTTCAGTTTAGGGTATGTGCAGGCTCTTCCATACTATTTCCTTTGCATAGTTGTTCACATTTAATCAGTCATAATATTCCCAGCAGGCTGCTCTGTTCACACTCACTCAACTCTGGCTCAAATAATTTCTAGCACAGCAGGAAATGTCCTCACCACCACGATGTTAGGCAGTTGCTTGTGAAAGTTTGTTTGCTACCTCACTTCATTATAAACCTGAAAATCTTCTACTGTTATACTCCAGGTACAAATGATATTTACTTGTATGAAATAAATCAGTGTCTCCTGGCTTCCTGTGGTGAGCTTAAGGTCATGCATAATGTGAGGTTTTGTTTATCTTAGGATATCTGAAATTGTTCTTTTCTCCTTATATTTTTCCATATCTTTAGGTTTTTAGCTGTATCTTTCATTAGGATGTTGATGATAGGACCAAAGTGAACATACTTGCTCTGCTAGAGACCTGGAGATGCTTAGTTATGTAGAGCTCACATTCTTACTTCAGAAGTAATACAGCAGAACAGAAACAGTGAAATATAGAACAGAAATAGTGAAATATAAATCTCTATTTTATACACAGTAGCAGACTCTAGTGTGTATATTAATTAGCCATTATGGACTGATTCTTACCATGTTTACCTCAGTTCCTCATTGATTTAGTTCTCTTGCATTCAGTATTACTATTTTTAGTCTGTACTTGGGTGAATTGAAGGAAATATTTGTATCTTCAAATAAAAACTTACCAGTTTCTTAACAGAATCATTATGATGCTAAATGTTATTTGTGATTTTTTTAAATTATGCTCTTAAAGAACAGTTGATTTTATTGAGACAAAAATCGCAGTGCAAAGAGGTTCACTATGAAGAGTTTTAATGATGTAACTGTGTAAAGCAACGCTGCGTAAGATGGATTCGAACTACTTCAGTTACCTGCAGGGAACTATAGTTTCTTGAATTAATATATTCCTGAATTAGTACAGAAGTGAAGAGAAAAGGGAGTGCATAACTTTCTGAGATACTGGCTCAGACTGGCAGCTGCCTTTGAAGGTAGCACAGCCTTAGAGAGACAGGCAGTCAGCAGCAACTCAGATAACTGTCTTGAACATTTCCTACAGGAACAGAAGACTCTTTACAGATGTTACAGGAGTGCCTTGGTGTTGACGCTTCAACTTGTGGTAGTAGTTCACGTTTAAGACATGACCTTGAACAAGTCACTGGTTCTGAAAAACTTGGGCAATTTATTGTAAGAGGACAAATGGGGGTTTTTTTTCTCTGTATTTTGCTTTGTTTGGTAAAGCAAATGAGAGGAACTCTGCTTTCTAACAGAATGGGATGTTTTATTTTCTCAGTCAAAACAATTGGGTTTTTTAAGCCATATAATATCAGTTTGAATTATTTGTGTTGTCAGTGATACACGATTGCATCACGATTGGGATTAAAATGTTGTACCCACGTGTTGTGTGTTGTTGTCTGATGTGGTATTTAATGTACACAGCAAAATATTTCCATTTTCTATTCTTCTTCTACTTAGCAGTTGTTCTTGCTGGGCTTCAATAAAGCCCACAGTTTTATTAAAGAAAATCGGGATGTCTCATTATATTTGGGGCAGAGGTAAGTGGATTGTGTAGCTGTTGTTTCCTAGTTTTTACTAAGGTGACTCTTTCAGGAGAAAGGAAGTGAGTGACAGAGTAGAAATCTCAAATACAGTTACAGACTGGTTAATTAATTTTTAATGGTATTACATGCTTTGTTAGACACTAGATTTTGCTTATTCCAAACACACAGGTCTAAGGAAGCATAGAATTGTATTAATTAATTTCAACTTTATTACAACACAAAACGCAAAGAATTATATAGTGTAATTTGTGTATGGTTTTGTCTTATGATCACTGCAAAGGAACATTTGTTATTAATGTGTTTCTGCTTTCTACACCAAAATCCAATAATTTAAATCCAAGATGATTTAAAGCCACTACGTACTGCTGCACAGGCTGATACAAGAGCAGACCCTGAAGCAAAGAACAAGGAGGGAGGGAATGTTTTTCATCTTCTTACTAATTGGTGATTAGAAAAATTGGTGCTGCTCATTGATAAGTGGGAAATGCTGGTTAGAATCCAATGAGGTGTTCATGTTGCAGACTTAGTAAACTATTATGTAAAGGAAAAAATGCTAGAATGTTTCTCTCCAGGTTCCTTTTACATAAGTGTGCAGAAAATAAAAAGTAAACAATGCAGCTTTGTTTGAAAAATCTACTTAGGATTTATTTTACAAGAAGACTTTTCTGGGAATCATAAGAATAAAACAAAAGATAAAAGAGGAGCCATGTAATGAGTAGGAGACAGGTGTGCATTTCTGAGGAAACTCAATCTGATTCTACTTCATCTCGACATTTTTATTGGTAGAGGCAGTAAATAACATTTACTAAGCATGTGATTTGCCATCTGCAGGTATTTTTTTTCTAAAAAATATATTAGAGAACCATTTAGAATCATCTCAAGTCTGTAAATTAAAATTGAGAAATAAAAATAAGTTTAATAATGGGACCTACTTGAATTGAGCATTTATATTTATATATATACACATATATATTCATATACATTATGTAATATCTAAAGAATCAAGCTGTGTGCATTTCTTAATGAAAGATACAAAACTGAGGAAAATAATTGCCATTTATTTCTTTATTCTCCTAATAAAAATTGTTATGTCAGGTGTCTATATTGTTATATAATGTTTTCTGTATTTTTATACAGGAAAAGCATAAGCAGGAATTAGAAGACATGAGAAAAGCTGGACATGAAGCCCTAACTATTATTGTTGAAGAATTCAAGGTAAATAAGTAACCAAGCTAACACAATTTCCAAATGGTTTTTGGAAAACTTCAGATAAAGTTGCTTAGCCATTTTCAGTAAGGAAACTTAAAACCAGAACAAACCCAAAATTCTCAGTCAGTTCTGGTAAACTTTGGGTTGGATTGTTTATCACAAATCTATATGTTGGACCTCTTCAGTCTCCAGAGCTGCACTTGCAGGAAAGCAGCATCACAGAGCAGGTTTTTATCTACACAGCACTAAGGGAGGAAGGTATGGATGAAATAATGCTGAGTCTTCCTTCATGCTGTTTTAGTTCCTGTCAGCTTATAAGATGAAAGAACTGGATGTTACCATGGAGCATAAATGTGTGTCGTTTGTTCTTCTGTTGAGTAAGAAACGCACAAAGGACAAAAACTGAATCAAGTTAGGAGGAGAAGGTAAATCTAAGAATTTTAATTAAAATGGATCTGTCCAGAGAAAAGCTGATAATGGAAAATGGACAAATTAAGGGGGAAACTTAAGACCTGGTGGCAACTCTGAGGTGAGAACACAAAGGGAGAATTTCAGATTTTAACTGTTCAGTAGCAGTAATTTGTACCCAAAGAATGATCTGGCATGGAGGGCAGGAAGATTTAGTGGTAGCTTTGGCAGTGCTGCATTAGGGATTGAACTCAATGATTTTAGAGATCATTTCCAGTATTAATGATTTTATGATAAGAAGAAAGCCTTTTAATAATTTTGCTAATAACTGTTAGTAGTGTTCTAGCTAATATTGAAATTAGCTCTCTGGAGAAATATCTCTGTCTCCATTCATGACTTACACTAATTTCATTCTGAACCTATCCAGAAAAAAGTTTCAAAAGTTTCCATTCATGAGAAAACAAACATGTCCACTGGTGGTGTCCCACTTCTCCATGCCTCCCTCATTTCACATCAGTGGGAGAATTATTGTGCTTCTATTCCCTTACTTCTTTGAGGATTGCTTTGTCTTAGAAGTTGTCAAAAGGGAATTTTACTTGGAGTGTGCATCTTCGGATGTGCCACTGAACGTCTTCAGTAGCAGAATTATTAATTTCTGTTTTGTTTTAGATACATGTCAAATATCTGGCTGTTCCTGTGTGAACTTAAATTTCCAAAAAGCATGCGAGCTTTTGATAATTGCTGCATTTATGTTTCCTTCTTTTAAGAAATCCAGCAATTTTATAGTATTGAATGAAAGTTTTGAATGTTTCTGAGATGTAATTTTTCACCATTTTAATTTATTTGTATTAAATACAAATCTCTAAATGAGAGATCTGCATGGGTTATATTGGCCCTTTAAAGGAATAATTTCTTCCTGTGTAGTTGGGTAAAGGGGTACATTTATGTGCCATAATAATTTTTGAAAGCTTTCTTACCAGTCAGTCAGCAGCAGCTGGGTAGATCTTTTCCAGATGCCTTCTGGAAAATAAGATTTATGTTTATCAGTTTCAGTGATTCGGCACAAAAGATTAGGGAGTTATTGAACCCTGTGTTTCTAAACAATGTTTATATTTAGTGTATGATTTCTCATAGAATATTTATATTCTAGTTACATAAATTCACTCTTTAATACCAGGGAACCATGAAATGAATGTACCTCATACAAGCCTTCCTGTTGCCTCACGTGGTTAGTTGACCACTCTGGTAAGAAATAATATCAGATGAGTCAAGTTCTGAGTAAATTACTGCAACCAGCCCTGTCTGCAAACATGAGGTGACTTATCAGGGTAGCAACTAAAATCAAAAAGGATTGCTAGATTAAAATACACTCAAGCATTTTTTGGTTGGTTGTTTATACTTCAATACCTTTCTTGTAACCCTTTGCTGTGAACTTTAATTAGAAAAGTAACACTGAATCATCGGGGAATTAAGTGGAGGCAAAAACTATTCTATAGTTTTTGTTTGAGAAAATTATCTCATGGATTCTTTTACAATGTTGATTCACTGTTAATATTTCAATATGTTACAGGGCTAAGTTGTTTTATTTTTCATGAGTCAAATGTGGTTTTGTAATTATAAAAGTAGTATCTTACATTTTGGAGGTTTTCAACTGTTGAGATCCTTAGGAATTTATTCTATTTGTCAGATGTGGTGGGAATGAGTTAGATAACCAAATAAAGGTTCCTACATGTAGCATTTGTTTAGGAATGTAAAGTAAATCTGATTAGTCCTTTTAGTGAAAGACAAAATTGTGATTCATTAACTATTTTCATTTACTCACGATAAACCAGACTTAATTTTGTGCTAAAATAAGTCTTTAGGATTTAGAGTGTGTTACTCTAATATATATCATTTATATGCAGTAGTAATTTCCATTTTCACTAGGTTTTTTGGTAAGTACTATCTAATTAATCCTCAAATTACCTTGAGTGCAGAAATTCACCTAAACAAATCTATGAATTGTTTAAAAGGCATGGGGAGGAAAATCTTGTTTGTGGTTACAACAGGCTTATTTTGCATTCCTGGGGGTTTAATAAAGTAACTGATGCAGGTTATTCCAATCAGGGGATTGCTCAGGCCATAATTAGGTTGTGTTGCAGTCAGGAGTGTGGGAATTCTGACTAATCCTCTCAGAAACCAATGAATTATAATTTTGTGGTGGCACTTCAAGCAGAGGTGTAGCACAACTTACAATGTCCAACATTGGTTGTTTAAGGATAGCTTGTAAAAATTTGAGCAGTTCATCCTTAGCCCCAGGAAATAGTCCCCAGAATGCCTCAAACCCCAAATCCTGTAACTTAGGTATTGAAACCTTGAGTGGAACAACAGTGGAAGAAAGTTGACTGATTTGTCTTTTCTGTATTTCTGGCATAGATAAGTGTTATTGTTAGTGGATTTGTGAACGTGCCTTCTTTTTGCTTTACAAAGGAAAAGAGAGTTGCTATTTTGTGGCTTCTGAGTACAAGGCTGCCAAGTTGGTAACCAGAAAATCACAGTTTTCTTCCATTCAGAGCTAATTCCACTCCTTGAAAATGTACTGCAGCAGACCCCAGTTGTTATTATCTTCCTATACTTCCAAATGGCTTACACTAACTTCTAGTCCCTTTCCTGTGTTTTGTGGACTTACTTGTTGTAAAAGGGACAATGTTTCTTCATATGGATCTTTCACTAGTGTAGTATCTCTGAGCAGAACAGGTACTCAAGTTTGAGGACAAACCCCCTCAATTCCTATTTCTGATTGGTTCTTCTTAGTATGGCAGCAGTGCTTAAAATGCAGCTTACACAAGAAGTCAAATACTGAACAACCTATTTTTAAGGCCCTGGATATACCAAAGCCCTTAAAATTAAATTCAGTTATCTTTGGAATATTCATTTGTTGAATGTGTTGGGAAATCCATTAATAGAGAGCATAAGATGCTTTGTAGCACAAACACTCAAAAGCCTTGGCCATTGTTAAGCATCTCATATTCTAATCTTCCTTACAACAAATAAACCATCCACAACACAGTCACAAATTTTGTATTGAAAACCACAGGAAAGCAAATTAAAAATTAACTCAGTGTTCTATGTAGGTCAAGTTTCCCCTTCTCATGTTTATCTAATTTTATTTAATTTCTCTCTTTCATGTCATTGCTGTTTTAAACTTTTATCCCTGGTAATTAACCACAGTAAAGAAAAGTAAATGTAGATCTTGGAAGTTATGCTTGTTGGATCACATCACATCTTAAGATATTTACCACAAGCAACATAAGAATTTCTCCTCTGCTTGTTTAGTCAAACTTTTGTTCTGAAATTGTCACAGTTCTGTAAATAGATGAGTTAATAGTTTTAATCTGTTCTATTTCTCATCATATAAAATGTGCTCTAATGTAAGCTTTAAAGAATAAGAGGTTACAGGCAGGTGTATTTATTTGACGGGCTTTATTTCCGTAGATCATTTTATGCAATTAATAGTGTTCTAAAAGACAGCCTGCATGAATCAGATTTGTGTTTCCTTTATAGAAATGAACTTCAAGGTGTAGAGTTCTTTCCAGCCCTTGGTGCAGGAAGAGTTTTGTTCATCAGTTTTCAGTGTAAGGTTGTGGGGTTTCTTCAGATTTTCAGAATGTAAGAACAGATAGATTTTCAAAGCATGGAATATGTGGGGGCCATCAGATTTTTTTTCAAAAATATTTGTGTCAATAATACACCTCTGAACTGAAAAGTTACCCTCTAATTACAAAAGAAGTTAATCTAAAATCAGGGTATCTTTTTTTAGACATAGTTTCTCCCTAGTGAGAGAAAGCTCTGAAATGTGGCCAGTTCTCAGCTCTTTAAAACATCAGCTTAGCTTATTAAGTTTCCCAGTTGACATCCTGGCTCAGAAAGGCCTGACACATGAGTAAGAGGACAAATTCAGAACTGTTGCAAGAGTTTGTATTTCACTTCCAACTTCTGTCCTTCTTCCTGTGCAGGTCACACTAGAAAATTCAGGTGAGCCTCAAATATAAAACCACCTTGTTTTTTCTCATGGAGAGCTGATGGCTGGAAAAGGAGAGATTCTAGTTCTGTACAACAGTGATGCTACAATGGAATTCTCTCTACAGAATTCAGATAAAAACAAGGTGCAGTCAAATCTCATACTCTGAGAGATCTGGCTATTAAAAGTATTTTATCATTGATTTAATGGCCTTTACATTTTGAAAGCAATTACAAAAATTGCAAGGAAACTCTCCCTCCCCTTCTAGTAAGGGTGAATTGTGTATGTGTTTCTGACTATAGAATAATAAATATAATGTTAAATATTATAAAATTATGAAGGTTAATAGAAGATTAAGAGTAAGTTTGCAGTTTGCTTCTGTCAGGAGTCTGTGAGAACAGTGTATTATGGAAAATAAGTCCTTTACACTCGCATACCAGTAAAACTGAGCTATATAGGTAAACCCATGTAGTATTCAAGCTGGAAGTTGTTGATTCTTACCAGTATGCATCAACACAGTTTCAACCACAAGCAGTTAAATATGAAACTGAATTTACGTTACCCCTTTGTTGTTGTATTTAACCGCCCTTATTCCACAGCCCCTAAATGGATATGTTTCATTTTCACTAAAAAGGCAGGCTCACCTGGAAATAACCCAATCATGAAAATGTGCAGTATTTTGGGCTGAAGTGGATGAGTTGAATTATTTTGAAAAAAACTTTTTCAGAAATCTTTTAAATAGTTTTACTGTATCATGTCCATCTTAGCTAATAGCTGAATTAAAACACAACTAGTCAAATACTGCATTTTATTGAGCTAATGTATCTTTTCCACTGGTCAGGAAAGAATTTTCATTGTGTTCTCTGCTCTATTTTGTCATTCAGCAATTGGTTACTTGCGTTTCACCCTTAAATTAAGTAGTAGAAAGTAATTAAATGGTGGAGACAGGATGCTGAATTAGATGAATCATTGTCTAATGCTATAAAGCATAAAAATTTGGAAGTACTATTGCCATATTTAATAGAGTTCACATGTTTGAAGCAATGCAGTAACTTCTCATTAGTAACTTTTATTTTTAAAGATTATTTGTTTTAATCATTCAGACTCAGCAGTTTTGAAGTAGAGGTTTGATATACTGGCTTCCATTTAGCTACTTGATGATTGAACAGAATATTCTTTTGGATTGACTAAGGCTCTTGATGCAGTGCTTTGAAGAAACATTCTAAAACATAACCCAGCAAATTGTACACCATGGTTTGTATTTTATACTGATGTTTCATATGAGTAGCTTTAACATTTTCAAACAATGCTGTGTATCTGGGAAGCCTGTGTTTTGCATGGATCAGAATTGCTTTTAAATTTTTTTTTAGAAGAGGTAGGAGAGGATAGTGACCTCAGCTTTGTTTTTCCTTTTGCCTTTATTCTGACTAGCTTTTTCCTATAATAAAAAGAGGGAGTTGAAAGAAAGGGGTTTGGTGATTTGTCACTCTTAGGGAATTCAAGAAGAATTGGGGGTAACAGTCTATATTTTGGCTATTTAATTCAAGAGGGTTTCTCATAAATTCTAGCTTCTGGCCTTACAATAAATTCTGTCTGGGCAAGTAGCTGTGGTTTCTGTTGCCCATAGAATGAATGTATTATGTACTAGGGCTGTGCAAGTAGGTTTGTATTAAAAATGCTGGGGCATCTCTGTTATGCTTTTGGCAAAACCATAGTTAAGGCACTTTTGCCTTTTTGAGTATGAGGAGAAATTTTAGAGATAATCTGGTACTCAGTACATAACACACTTTAGATATACAGGATGAAGTGTTGTGATCATTTGTGGTTTTAAGCTTTTCTTCTCATATTGGGCACAGTGAAGCTTTTCAGTCCCTGGTCTGTATACAGGAATGCCATTCTCCATGATTCCCACCACACAGGTAGTGTGCTGTCATTTCCAGGACTAAATACCAGTGCTAAAACATGTAATTAGGTGTGTATTCCTTTAAGAACCCCCCATGGTGATCATGGCTCTTATTATGATATTTTGATTTACTTTCAGCTCAAGATTGTCTAAAATTATTCCAATGTATAAAACTTAAAGCTAAGGTTAGTTCTTTATCTGAGCTCAAACAGGGGTTCAGACTAATTTATTTAGTATACCTGGATTAATTTTAAAATGTTTTGTACAGTCATTTAGATGTATGAAGATTTCTTAAATGGTTTGAGGAAATAACGTTTTTTCTGTAATTTTTTTAATGTACCATATATCAAACTAAAATGAAGACTCTATAGAGAACTTAAGGGGTTTTAGTCTCTTTATTCTGTTGGAAGCCACCACAACATTTTGGTTATTGAAGAAAAAGTAGGATAAGTTCTGACAGTTTTTTGGGTTAGTAGAGAGATCAGAAAGAGGGAAAGAAGCCTCTGGATGGAATTCTGGGCCACCTGGTCTAGTGGAAGGTGTCCCTGCCTATAGGAGGGAGTTGGAACTACATGAATTTTAAGGTCCCTTCCAACCCTTAAAATCCTCTGATGCTGTGAATGTATGATGACCCTTCCCAACTAGTGTCAAGGAAGTTCATTGCACAATATATAGAAGGAAAAATTAATTAACAAGAAAGGTCATATTGAAATCCTACCCTTGACTTCATGCAACAGCTTCCATAGGCTACGTTCTGATGTAACCTTACTTGAACTGATTCAATTAAAAGGAGACTGTTTCAAGAATGCCAACTTGGTATTAGATCACTGGCCATAGATTTATGGAATGTCATCCCAGCAACATAATTAACAACTCCTCCTTAACTAATTAAGGAAGAAAATGCTGTTTCAGCAGTGATAAGAGTATTTGCCCAAAACAGCAATTAATCAAAAGATTTTTAGTGTTATTGTAACTATAAGATAAGAGATACCGATCATCAAGTAGCAAAATGTATGTTTCAGTTTAGCAAATGAGCTAATTGGTAAATGAAATTTTTAAAAATTATTAAATTTGAGTAGTTGATTATCTTGAAAATTGCCAGAGCTTTGGATGACTATCATACATCTCATTTCCCATTGAGAAACTTGTAGTACGGTGCTACATAGGGAGATTTTTCTCTCTTTCTCCTTGGCCAGCTAGTGGAACAGTAAAATATACCACATCAGCCCTGTGGTACAATTTAAACTGTGTTAATAGTATGTATAACAGAAATGGAAGACTTTTGTTTCTGAATGTGGAATTTTATGTATTTCCTAAAGAAAAATAGTAATAATAAATTAATTTTAAATATTTAACAGCCTCTACATGCCATGCAGTGAATAATAATTATTTCCTTGAAAACTGAAAACTGAAAGTTCTTTATACCATTTAATAGGATTTTAACAGTTGCCAGTGAAGTTTGCAGAGCAAAAGATGACTCAACCCTTGGCATGAGCAAGAAACTGTCTGAGAAATGCCGTGGCAGCCTAATGGCCATTCTGTTACTGTGTTCCCTAAGAACAGAATTATTTTATTTTCTTCTGTACCAGTTACATGAAACATTTTTTGCTACAATAGTTTAGACAAAAAAAAAACCAACCAAACAAAAAAAATTATCCCAAACCCCAAGGTCCTGGCTTATTATTTGACAGTGATATGTGACTGTTCTAATTTATGCAGACTATAAAGATTCATGTACAAAGGTTACACTTCCTTGAGAGTTCAGTTTTTCTGAGTGCTCAAATTTCTATAAATGAAAGAATTTAATTTAGTTAGAAATAAATTGGCTTTTTTGAAAGTAAACTTACTTACTTACTAACTTAATTACTTTGCTAAATCCCCTATAAACACCAGTAAATGTATTCTCACACTTTGATTAAGCCCAAGTTTTAACCTTTTTAATTGCTGAATTCGTCCTGAGAGCAACTACCATGCTACAGCATTACTGAAGAACAGTGATTTTGGCATAAGAGGATAGTGGAAAATTTGGAAAGGTATTCAAAAATTGTCAGAAGATTTTATCTCTTTTTACATTCTTGGGGTTTTTTTTAAAGTATTCAAAATTTTATTTGATGTGTGTGTTATGTTCCATGAAGTAAATATATCTCTAAAATATTGTTTGAAAGATGAGGATTTCTTTTCTTTGTCTGCATTTGGGCCAAAGGTCTGTTTTCTGTAAAAGTCATGTCTGTTTTAACTTACCCAGTCATTTTGACTACTTCAGTATATTGATTACTAGTTAAGAATAGTTTGGTACATTCTGTATAAAGAACCCAGTGAATATTTGGAAAGAGGTATAAAGATTTTATAGTATCAGGAAAAAAGGCTTAAAAATTACATGAGCCAAGTAAATGTTTATCTACCATTATTAAAAGAAACCTGAGCGTAATTCTCCAAATGATAATTTGGTTTTTTCATGTATCTTCAAGTATTTTATTTCTCTAACTGCATTCAGATGCTGGAGGTTGTGCAGGGCTTAGCCAAGCATGTGTGATTTCAGGCATGTGCACAAACACGTGCTCACACACTCAAAACTCCTACTCCCATCAGCTGTTTGTTACTGCCTTGGTACTTAGTCTTTCCACACTTTGACTTACACTGCTTCACATTCAAGTGTGAACATCCTGGGGGGGCATTCTTTTATGTTTTATGTTACTCAGAATTTCCATCTGCTTTTACTTGACTTGTGGTTGTGAAGATCATGCTTGGCCCATGGGATCTTACACAGTGCCGAGAGGATGTGGAGTTTTGTCAGCCAGGGAAATATGTCTGGCTTTTTTTTTTTTCTCTCTCTCTCTTCAGCAGCTTTCATATTCACCTCTTCTTGTGTGGTCCCACTAAATTGAGTATATTTAACAGAAATACTCTCCCTCTCTATCTTCTGTATGCTGCTGTCTTTTAAGCAGACTGTGTAAGAAATCTGAGATCCAAAAAATGTTAGTCCTGACTGAAAACAAGGTAGTGTTACATAGAAAGGTACTTTAATTGCTACACATTCTAAATTTATAACAGCACTCCACATTCTGGTTGTAGATGAGTCTTAGTGGATCTGCAGTTACCAATAAATTTCCCAGTTACATCTTTGTTGAGTATTTTGTGCCTTTTTTTTGCAGGCACTGCTAGAATCTACAGTTCAGCAGCAAGAAGCAGCTATTGAAAAACAGTATATATTAACCATTGAAAAGCATTCTCGCAAATGTGAAGATCTCCTTGATGCTCAGGTATGGATGTGCACATGCAAGAATTTCCATGATTTTCTTTTAGTTTCAACTCTTCCTGTTTGAAAAAAATATTAACATATAAGATCCCCAAAGAAAATGATCCATCTCTCACCTTTTTCCTCAGCATACCACTAGGCACAAGTATTTAAAAATGCTAAATAAATAAGGACTCTTCATCTGTTGAGATCAAAAATGTTCTGTAACACTGGAGCCTGCTTAGAACAGATTCAAGAAGAGTGTAGCACTGAGAAAAAGTCCCAGTGCAGCATAATACTTACTTCTTAACAGCTGCCTTTTTCTGTGGTCTTGGAGAAGCCATTCAATTATTTTTAATTTTTGTAGTTAAATGCAGGACCTGATTGTATGGGATTTGGATGAATTTTTGGTCCAAATTTTGAGATGGTTCTTAGATAGTAGACAAAAATGTGCTGTCCACACCTATTTTTATTTCACAGAAATCTTACCTAAAAATAAAAAGCTATAAGGAGTTACATAATATCCAGAAATATGTGTGTGTATATATATATATATAAATATATATATATATACAAACATGAATGGCCTAAATTGGCTCATTTAGCATGACTTGAGTAAAAGCACACTGCACAGCAAGTATCTGAGATCAGAGCAATTACTGTTGAGTATCTGAACAGTATCCATCTGGTTTGTTATCAATAAGATCTTGGTTTTACTGAAGTACAGCTCTTGAATCAAAATAATAATGACCATGAGCATGGAAGTTTAAAAACCAAGAAGTTAATTTGTTAATAGCCCTCTGGAGTCATTTATATTGCAGCTAAGTTACCTTTTAAGTACTGTTACAAACAGTCCTGCAAAAAATACAAAGGATAACTTTTTTTAATTTTCTTGTAGTATCTTAGATCTAAATACATCAAATGTCCCCTTGAAGGACTCCACCATTTCTAGAAGTGTTTTATGATCACTTGACTGTTCTGACCATATCAATTAACACCTAGTGCAAATGTGTGTTAAATATAGGTGTGTGTAAACAGTGTGAAGGAAAGATGTCATAATGTGAAAAAATTGCAGTTATTTAATACTTGCTATAAAGCTCTAAGAGCAAGTAAAAATTAATTTTTTAAAAAATGTTTTCTGTTTTTGAAATTAATGTATCATTTGCTAACTTGATATCACTTTCTGAATGAACCTCATGAAATACAGAAATGTCATAGGAACATATTCTGAGATTGTTCTTACAGACTGAGCAATAACTTGCACCTGTGATCAGTCAGATTTGCATCAAAATCCCAAAAATGGGCCAGAAGTGTGAAAGCATGTTGAAGAAGTTCAAATTTACCTGGGGAGAACCCAACAATGTAAAGAACTGTTCTTGGTCATAGGAGAGGAGAGTGGTTAGGACAAAACACAGTGCCCATCACGTCTGCATTTAACACCCCCTTTGGAGCCCAGAAAAAGTGTAAATTTTGTTCATTAACCTCCAAGTCATTTATCATTCAGTGCAATCGAGGTTTTCACTTCTAATTGTAATGTAAAACTGGGATTTTAAAACCTAATCAAGTAGACAAGTTTGGGAGCTTGTGGTTGAGCTATCAGGTTTAATTAAATATGATTGATACTGGCAGATTTTATTCACTCATGAAACTTCGTTGAAAGATCTGAGAAGTGGGTGGTATGTTTTTATTTTTTTATAATCTATTCTTAAATATATGGTTTTGTGTTTATTTTCACCCTTCTTTTTCTTCAGATTGTTTTGTTATGTGCTAACAGTTGAGTTTGATGAAATTGCTGCTGATACTTATACATAGATTTCATTGCTGTTTTATGATATGGGATTTTACATGCATAGCCGCCTTTATGTAGAGATTTATGTGTTTGTATCACTGTAAAGATTTTTTTTTTGGTGTAGCAGTAATCACACATTGCAAGACTCAAGACAAAAATCACTTCTTTTTTTTTGTTCCCTTCTAATATTCTTGCCTTACAAGCAGTATTTTGCCGTCAAAGTTTTAAGCCTGTTTAAAATTGTCAAACCACATAGTTTTTTGTGCTTGTTTGACATTCCTTTTAAAGTTTTTTGTGTTTTACTTCCATTTCCACATAATCAAGATTATCTCATGATAACTCCTTTCTCATGCTTTCTACTTACTCCTGTTTCCCCCCTAAATGTCCCTGCCCCCCCCCCCCCCCTCACAAAAGTGTCTTTGAGATGGAGGAAAGGCTGTTTTTCTGTTTGTCTTTAACCTTTTCCTAGAGTTTATTGAAGTATCTGATTTTAAGGCTTAATTTTATCAGCTGGAGATGCAGGTTGAAATCCTTTCCAGAGAAGATCCTGCTATCCCGCTGCTCACGTTCAGTGTATAAGGCTTTGTTTTCCAGCATTGAGAAAGAAGTGAAAGACCTCATTGCATGGTCCTATTCCAGCTTCCAGCTGGAAAAATACCTGCAGTTGATATTTGATCATTATGTGTCAGCCTTGTCACCAAACTGGCTCGCTGTAGTCAGCATCCTAGATGATGGTCACTGGAATGATTCTTTCCCAGGTGACAGCCTCTAGGGCTGCTGGTTTTCTCCAAGGAAATACACTCCCATATCCAAAGTGGTGTGGGGAGCAGCAGAGGGGGGGGATTCTGCTCCTCTGCCCCTCTACTCAGGAGAGACTCCTTCCACAGCACTGCCTCCAGCCCTGGGGTACAGCACAGGAAGGACAGGGAGCTGCTGGAGCCAGGCCAGAGCAGGGACACCAAAGGGATCAGAGGGATGGAACAGCTCTGCAGCAAGGAAAGGCTGAGGGAACAATTGGGATTGTTCAGCCTGGAGAAGAGAAGGCTTTGGGGTGACCTCATTGTGTCTTTCCAGCACCTGAACGGAGCCCACAGAAAAAATGAAGAGACACTCTTGACAAGGGCCTGGAGTGACAGGATATGGCTCAAACTGACAGAGAGAGTAGGTTTAGTTTGGATATTGGGAAGAAATTCTTCCTTGTGAGGGTGTGGAGGCCCTGGCACAGGTTGCCCAGAGAAGCTGTGGCTGCCTCATCCCAGGAAGTGTCCAAAGCCAGGTTGGATGGGGCTCTGAGCAACCTGGAATAGTGGAAGGTGTCCCTGTCAATGGCAGGGGATTGGAACCAGATGACCTCCAAGTTCCCTTCCAACCCAGGCCATTCTGTGATTCCATGATGTCAACATTTTAAAAAGCAAACCATGCATTCTTGTGGCACATTCAGGGGCATCAGTGTCATGGTATCCTCCATCAATCGACAGGACAAAGAGAATTATTTCTCTGTGCCAGAAACCAGTCATGTCATCTACTGAATATTTAAGAAAGCTATTCCTGTCAGTTTTACTTTTCTAGGATTTGATGATATCAGAAAATGCCAATAGAAAACATAGTAGTTCTTTACAAGTTGGAAAATTACAAATTTAATCCTCACCTTTTTCCGAGACACAAATCTTTGATGTTGCCTTCTGAAAACAAACAACAACTGTGATCTTGTGGCTTTACTCATGTGTTATGTGAAAATACATTCTGAAATATATAATCAACAAACCTTTGAATGAATTTTTTTTTAATACTCAGAAATTTCTCATACTATTCAATCAAAGGTGTTAAAAGTCTCTATAGTAAGCTACATTTTTTTATTCTTCTTAAAATTCAATGATCTACGTATTAAGGTAAAATAAAATGTTAAATACCTAGAGCAGTTATTTTTCATAAAATCAATGTGTGTGAAACATGTCTCACATCTGTGGATACAGTAGCATTTAGGACAACTGAAGTTACCCCCATGTCTTTAATGCTTTTTCCACTCTACTTTATCCTGATGTTGGCTGTCACTTGTATGATAAACAGTAGTTCATAATCTGTTACGTGAAATCTTTTGTCTCTGAGACTCACTCAGGGAAGTACTGGTTCATCTTCAATAAGAAAAGAATTACTGAAAGGTCAGTCAGAATAAAAGTTCCATTGGCTGGAGCTCATCTTTTAAAATTTATTATGCTTATGACAAGCAGAAAACTGGTGTGACAGTAATCATGAATTGCTGGAATGATAGGTATTTTATCTTCTCTAGCATTTGGATGATTCTTTTTGATGTGTTTTGCATAACCTTTTGTGAAAAGTACCAGTATGTCTTCTGACTAGAAGAATAGAATATCAAATGTGGGAAGTACTTTTATTTTACAGCAATTGTTTGTATGCCAGGGGAAATGTTCACTTCAATTGGAAACTTAGCTTCACAGGAGATGCAATTTCCTTTGATTTCAAATAATTGCTTTTATATCTACTGAAAATGTGCCTCATGTTTCTCTAATAATGCTTATTTTATGAACTTTGATTATGTTTTTCTCCTCTTGTAAACAAAAGAGGCTCTGTGTTTTCCCCATCTGCTAGTAGTAATTGTGAAATATTTTAATGCCTGATCTTGAAGGGGCCATACACAAATAAGATTCTGAGAGGCTTGTGAATATTTGCATTTTTTGGAGACATTGGCCAAATTTTTGCAGAGAGAGTAGTAATCCTGAATTCAGACTTTCAGACTGAAAATACAAACACTGCCATGGGCATAACCTTTCTGGTTTAATAATTCCAGCTATGATAGGTTTGGAAATTATTTAGAGTACTTACCATGTCCCCTTCTTTGGACATGTCCTCTCAGTTCCCAGAAATCTTGTCATTTACTTCTGAAGAAATATTTGTTTATTCATTTCCTTCAAAACCAAGTACTTCAAATCAGCCCTTCCTGTTACATTTTCGTGTAATTCACCTTCACATAATTCATCTAGTTGTATCTTTTTCAGGCCTGCTGCTCTTTTGCCAAGAGCGAAGTTACACTTTCTCAGAACTTAAAGGAGCAAAAAAGTAAGGATTGATTGAAATCCTGTGGCAAATTTGAGAAACTTATTCCTGAATTCCTGATACTTTACATGTATATAGAGAGAATAAAAATGAAAACAGCAAGAATCAGCTTTTCCTCTGCTGGGATGGCTTTTTGTTTGCTTGCTTGTTTTTCCAAAATTTGG